GAGATAGGGTCTCATTATGTAGTACTGGCTGTTCTGGAACTCTATATGTTTGCTAGACTGTCCATAAATTTTCAAAGATCTTCTTCCTCTGTTTCTCATATTCTGGGATTCAAGTCATGTGTGACGTATCTTTTGGGTTTTAGATTTCTTGAAACAGAATATTATGTAGCTCAATCCATCTCACCTCACATTCACTATGTAGCCAAAGCTGGCTTTAAACTTCTGATTCTCCTGCCTCCACCTTCCAAGTGCTGGGATTACAGGTGTGTGCCATCATGCCCAACTGATCACTAGAATATTCAATTCAGAAAATACTTACTTTTCATTTATTATAAAACAGATATTAGGCATTTGCCAGTTAAAAATCAAAAGGCTAAGTAGTTGCGTGACTTCCATATATCTGTCTCTAACCAGAAAAAGAATGAGCATGGCTAAGCAGACAAGAAATTATTATTTCACACTAACTGCATTCTTACTGTTTTACGATAAGAGACAAGATTGAATTTTTCAACTAAGGTAATGATTTATTGGTATTGCCTTTCAATTAGATGGCAACCCTCAACAGATTCATTTTCATTTTTACTGGTAGCTGTGCTATTGTAGAATATATACTAAATAACAAATTAATATCTTATAATTACATAATTGATTGTAAACTATACTGTGACATTTTGAAAATGGGTATTTTTTCCAGATACTGATTACTTTATATGTTTCTTCTTTTAGATTTTACATCTCACAAGTCTCATTTCTACTATAGTTATAAAGAGTATTAAGTATTCATAATAAATACATGCAGATTATTTTAAATGTTAATTAAGAAATATAATGGCATCCAGAACTCACAACCCTACACAAAGAACTACAGACAACTAAGGAATGCTGGAAGTGAGAGAAACAGTCTTTCCCAGGGAAGACACACCAGTTGGTTTGCCAGTACCAAATGGTAAGTTCTGCAAACATATATACAAGTAACATTATACAGACCGAGCAGGTTGTATTTATGTGTGTGTGTGTGTGTGTGTGTGTGTGTGTGTGTATAATTTATATATATACACAATTAATAAAAAAGAGGCTGTGAATTTGAAAGAGAGTAAGGAAAGGTATATGGCAGGCTTTGAAGGGAGGAAAGGGAAAGGTTAAATGCTGTATTTAATATCAAAAATAAAGGAATATTTAAAAAGAGAAAGAGGGAGCCGGGTGGTGGTGGTGGTGCACGCCTTTAATCCCAGCACTCAGGAGGCAGAGGCAGGCGGATCTTTATGAGTTCGAGGCCAACCTGGGCTACCAAGTGAGTTCAGGAAAGGCGCAAAGCTACACAGAGAAACCCTGTCTCGAAAAACCAAAAAAAAAAAAAAAAAAGAAAAGAAAAAGAGAGAAAGAGGGAAAGTTGGATTTAAGGGTACACTTCCTTCAGGGAAGTTTTGCTTCTCCACTATGATTTCTCATAAACTACTTTGTAGTCTTCATTCCAAGGTAATTCGTTTGAACTCCTCCTTGTACCTATTTGCCTTCTTACAATCCATAAGGAAATGACACTCTATTTACAAAGCTTTTATCCCCAGTGCAGGATGATCAAATCAAGAAAAACTGGTTCTTTCTGAAGTCCTCTGACATTGGTCTCTCTGAACACTTGAGCTAAGGAGTCAGTTGCAGAATTCACTCAACCAAGTCAAATTTATAAACTTCCCTCAGAACTGTATGAAGTTTGTATTGAGTATCCTGAGAGAAGACAAGAGTCCCTTCACAGAAGAATAACACCTTGACAAAGGACTTCTGTACCACATTTTCTTTATCCATTTTTCTGTTGGGGGCATCTAGGTTGTTTCCAGGTTCTGGTTATTATGATCAATGTTGCTATGAACATAGTTGAGCAAGTGTCCTTGTGGTATGATTGAGCATCCTTTGGGCATAAGCCCAAGAGTGGTATTCCTGGATCTTGAGGTAGGTTGATTCCCAATTTTCTGAGAAACCACCATTCTGATTTCCAAAGTGGCTGTAAAAGTTTGCATTCCCACCAGCAGAGAAGGAGTGTTGTCAAAGGACTTCTGTATCTTTGTTCCTTTGTGAGTCTTGTTTGGTAGGGAAGGGCCAGTTACTTTATTTTGTTTTGTTTCTGATTTTTGGAGATAAGGTGTTCCTCCATAGCCAAGGCTGGCCTGGAAATCACAACAGTTCTCCTGCCTCAGCCTACCAAGTACTAGGATTGAGGGTATGATCTACCACACCCAGCCTATTTGTTTGATTATTTTGAGATAAGACCTCTGTAGCTCAGGCTGGCTTAAAATGAACTATGCTGCCCAGGCTTGCCTTCAATTCATGAACTTCCTTCCTCAGCCTCCTGCATGCTGACATTATAGTTTCGCATTACCACACCTGGGTCCTTCAAGTTTTAAAGTCAATTCTGCAGGAAAATATTACTTTAAAATATAGCAGCCCAAGAATCAACTTGATTCTATTGAGACACCTGATCAGTTGCAAGAACACAGCCAGTTATGGCTTCTGTCACATCTCCTGGAATCAGGAGACAAGAAGGACCAAGTTTGACAAAGACCAATACCAGGTTATTATTCAGGCCTTTGAAAAGAACCAATATCCTGATCAGAGAAGTGGCCAAACCGATCTAGATTCAGAGCCATGAGCGATGTGTGGTTTCAGAACGGGAGAGCACGAATATCAAGGAGAAGCCAGAGAAGCCCCAGTGGGATCACAATGTGCCTGAGTTAAGTTGTTCAGATCAGCAAGGCCTTTCGGGGGTCGTAGGAAAGATGGACAGCTTTCCTGGGGAACTGGAGTGTTCCAATTCTAATCAAGTCATTCAGTGGAGGAATACTGATGTCCTGGATGGGAATGTACCCTCCCCTAACCTGGAGACTCCAGCCAGCGAGTCAAGTGAGCCTTCTGGAGACTTCTGTTGCTCTTCCTCTTTGGGTCCAGCTCTGTTTCCACCTCTTACTCCCCAACATCTCTTTCCACAGCTGGATGCTGGTGTCGCTAGAACTGAAAATTGTCTGGAGACACCCAAGATACTGCTATCTGGGGACTAGACCCTGCGGACACTAGGGTCTAGGGAGCTGTAGGGAGCTCTAGGAAGCTGCCATTAGCATGGGGCTGGCATCCTCTACCAGCTCCAGATCCAGAAATGGCATCTGTACTTCTAGGGGCTTGGGAGCAACCAGAATCCTACCACACCCAGCAGCTCTGGACACATTCAGCTTCTCCCCTTCTGAACTGGCATCAACCTCAGCCAATGACGAGGCCTACTGAGTGCCACGAGCAATTTCTATCTCCCTTTTCCAGACAGGATCTGTATTGGAGGCCACAAAACACATGGCCCTCAACCCCAAGCCGCTGTGGGGTCTGCAGCTCAAACTCTCCCACAGGAAAACAGGAAGCAGCCTAAGTAAGAGCCCATCACTGGGGGACCAAGGAACTAAGCTGTTACTTATCTGTAGCACAGAACACTATGCAGAGTTGAAAAGGAATGCAAAGATTTGAAGACTCTTTCACAGACAGGACTTCCAGGCATACTTTTTGGAGAAATGTGATTATGTCAGTATGGAAATGCAGGGGAAATAAGACAAGCAAAAGAGCCTGAAGCTTTCCTTTGATGGAAGACTGAAAAAAAAAAAGTTTAAAAAAATCCCTTTCCTGTGAGAGGTGTGCATAAAGAGTCACTTGCTCCATAGCTGAGGAGCTATCTCATGCTACCGGGATAGGGAGAGTCAGTTTCAGTTTTCTTTTATGATGTGACAGCTGAAATATCATCGACACTCCAGCACAGCGCCCCCCCCCCCGGAATATTAATATTCTGTCAACACAGAGTGAATTCGGTGGGTTTGAGAGAAAGAGACATGGAATTGGGTGGGTAGGGAGGAGGTAGGGGAGATGAAGGGTGAATTTGGGGGACACGATGAATATAAAATTATGTCTGAAATTATTAAAGAATGAATAAAAATATATTTTAAAAATTTGTCTTTTGCATATACATGGAAGAAAGCAAAGACAATATTCTCCAAAGTAACTAAAAAGAAGAGGTTCAGGATCAGGATGAGAACTATTCTGCGCAAGCGTATTATTTTATAGTCAATAGACAATGATTCATAAACTGGCCAATTCATGTTCTATTCTGTGGTTCTGGGGATTGATCCCAGGGTCTTGAGAATGTAAGGTAAATAAGTATTTCTATCACTAATCTGAAGCTATTTTCATGAATGAATCCTCCCTTATGGAAAGGCAAAAAGCAAGCAGCAGTCCAGAGAAACTTGTAAGATGCATAATACTCCAGATTTCTGTGGGTTGAGTTCAATTCATTATATTTAGTCTCAGGATTGCTATATTTAGTAACTGTTTCCATGATTCTTATGGTGAAGCAAGTTTGGGGAAAGCTACAAAAGGAAAATAATTCTCAATCCTGAAAGGGCATTACTATTACCTGAGGAGGTTTTATTTTTAAAATTTTACTGTTGTGCTGGGCATAGTGGTGCACATCTTTAATCCCAGAACTTAGGAGGCAGAGGCAGAGGCAGGTGCATCTCTATGAGTTTGAGGCTAGCCTGGTCTATGGAGTGAGTTCCAGAAAAGCCAAGGCTACCAAGTGAGACACTGTCTCAAAAAAATATTATTGTGTGCATGATATGTATGTGTGTGAGTGTGGGCACACCTGTGCCATCATACCCGTGTGGAGGTCAAATAACAACCTTTTGAAATGGTTCTTTCCTTAGACCAAGGTTTCTAGGAAACAAATTCATGTCATTAGGCATGTATGCCGGGCACTCTTGCCTACTGAGCTATCTCAATGGGCCACCTGGCCATTGTTAAATATACACACTGCATATACTAGGGTTCAGACTCCAGAGTGAAAGATTAGTATTTAACTCATGCAGAATGGGGATAGGCATTAGTTGGTTAATTAGTTACTTGGTTTTTGTTTGTTTTTAAAACAGGGTTTCACTACATAACCCAGATTGTCCTGAAAAATCAAAATCCTCCTGATTCACCTGAGTTATACAACTAAAGACACATGACACCATGGACTGACAGGCATTGATATATTTTGACTGATATATTTTGTTATTACCTTTATATTTATGTATGTATGTATGTATGTATGTATGTATGTATGTATCTATCTATCTATCTATCTATCTATCTATCTATCTATCTATCATCTATCTTGTATACGTTAGTGTCTGGGTATGCAGGTGTCATGGTGCACATGTGGAACCCAGAGGACAACTTGCTGGAGCTGCTTCTCTCTTTCTATCAGGTAGGTCCCAGGGGCAAGCATTTTTACTTGCTGAGCCCACAGCATTGATATCTTTAAACATCTTTGCAGATGAGTACAGGGTTGTGCTATTCGCCATCCTAGTATTCAGAAACAGTGCTCTTTCCCTCTCTCCCTTTCAGGTTTATTTGTTTGAGAGACAAGTTGTCACTTTTTAGCCTAGACTAGTGTCTAACTCATAACAATCCTCCTGCTTCAGCCTCTTACACTCTGTAAGTACAGGCATGATATACCACATCCAGCAGAAACAAGGATTTCAAATAGATCTTTGGTTTTAGGAATGCTTTACACACTTAAACATTACAGAAAATACAGAGAGTTTTGTTTTAAGCAGTTCATACTAACATTTTTCCTTTTTTATTCAAACACTATTTTATACAGCATATTCTAATCATGCTTTTTCCCTCCCCCAACTCTCCCCAGATCCTTCCCCCCTCACTACCCACCTGGTTCCATGGACTTTCTATCTCTTTAAAAACAAACATACAAACAAACACATACCAAAACATATCCACACATACACAAAAAATAAACCAAAGTATAGTAGCAAAAGAATAAGACAAAAATGCTCAAACAAAGCAATAGGAAACAAAAAATTTACAAAAATACCATTGATTTAATTTTGTATTGGCTATCTACTCCCAGAATTCTTCGGTCTCTCATTTTCTGCACCTTGGCCAGTTGTAGTATAGTAGTTTTTCAAAGATTAAACAGAGCTAGAAATATAGTTCAGTGATAGAACGTTTATTTGCCTAGCCTGTGCAATGCCATGGGTTTAATCCACAACACTGAAGAAAAATTGAAACTAATATTTTAAAATACTCACTTATTAATTGAAAATTCATAATGATAGAATCATTGCACGATAATATAAATAACATACAATTGGTAACTTTCTCCCACACACACAAAAAGAAGTTATCTGGATATTGCTGCTACATGCCTGTAATCCCAGCACTCAGGATACTGAAGCAGGAAGAAGATCTTGAGTTCAAAGTCAGTCTGGAATGTATCTCATAAGACCCTGCTTTAAAAAAAGTCACAGATGTCAGGCAGTGGTGGTGCACACCTTTAATCCCAGCACTCGGGAGGCAGAGCCAGGCAGATCTCTGTGAGTTCAAGACCAGCCTGGTCTACAGACGGGCATCAAAACAGCACAGAGAAACCCTGTCTTGGAAAACCAAAAAAAAAAAAATCACAAACACAAGCATTAGTGAGAAGAGTAGCATCAGTCTGAATGGAGATAGCAAGCCCAAACACATCTCAGAAGCCAGCCTTTGCAACCTGGTGGACCAACTGACTGAAGAGCAGATTGCAAGATTCAAAAAAGCCTTTTGGTTATTTGGCAAGGATGGTGATGGAAACATGAGAACAAAGGAAATAGAAAGTGTAATAATGTCTCGGGCAGAATTCCACAGAGACAGGGTTACAGATATGATTAATAAAGTAGATGCTGATAGAAATGGCACAATAGACTTCCTTAAATTTCTGACAATAAGGCAAGAAAAATTAAAGCACAGAGAGTAAAAAGAGATTATATAAGCATCTTGTGTGTTTGATAAAGATGTCAAAGACTGTATTAATTCACATAGCTTCAGCATGTGATGACAAACCTTAGAGAGAAGTTAACAGATGAAAGGGCTGAAGAAATGATCTGGGAAGCAGATAGTGATGGTAATGCTCAGATACACTGTCAAGACCGTGTACAAATGATGATAGCAAAATGAAAAAGTTATACAGAATATGCTAAATGTCTTATTTTTGAGACAATGTTTTACCATGTAGTCCTGGCTGTCCTGGAAACCCACTATGTAGATCAGGCTGTCCTGGAACTCACTGAGATCTTCCTACGTCTGTCTCCTGAATGCTTGCACAAATTTTCTCTCCGTAAGTCTCTCTCTCTCTCTCTCTCTCTCTCTCTCTCTCTCTCTCTCTCTCTCTCTCTCTCTCTCTCTCTCTCTCT